AAGTTAATCCTTAAGTATTTCATTGTTTTAGAAGTAACCATGAATGAAATTATTTTCTATTTTTTCTTTCTCATTCCTTGTACATAAAAATGCAGCATATTTTTGTATGTTGATTTTGCAGGCTGCCACATTGCTATAGTCATTTATCGTTTCAATAGCTTTATGGTGGCGTCTTCAGGATTTTCTATATATAGTATCATATCAGCAGCAAATAATAGTTTTGTTTCTTTTCCAACTTGGATTCCTCTTATTTCCTGTTGTTTTCTGATTGTTATAGCTCAAACCTCTAATACTAAATTAAACTGAAATGGCGACAGTTAGAATCCTTGTATTGTTCCTGGTCTTAAAGGGAAAGTGTTCCATTTTTCACCATTTGATAATGGCCTTTGAATGTTGAGATAGTTTTCTTCTCATTTTGTTTGGAGTTTTTATCATAAATGGATTTTAAATTTTATCAAATGTTTTCCCTACATGTACAGAAATTATCACATGACTTTTATCTTTATTTTTGTTGATAAAGTATATTTTTAATACATTGATTTACACATATTAAACCATCCTTGCACCCCTGAGATAAATACCACTTGACCATGATATATATTTTGTGTATTGATGAATTTGATTTGCTAGCATTTGTTGATAAATATTTGTATAATATTTATCAGGGAGATTGGTCTGTTGTTTTCTTGTGGTGTCTTGATCTTGTTTTGACATTAAGGTAATATCATTGTCAAACGTATTAGGGCACATTCCCTCTTCTTGGATTTTCAGAAATAATTTGAGAAGATGAGCCCAAGATCTATAAAGTTTTGATAAAATTACCCTGTAAAGCCCTGGCCCTGGCTTTGGTTTGGGAGGACATTTTTGTTGCTGTTTTAATTTCTATGATTGTGATTGGTTTTTTCAATTCTTCTGTTTCTTCCTGGTTTAGTCTTGGGAAAACTCTATTCTAGAAATCTATCCATTTCTTCAAGGTTATCAAATTTATTGGCATTAATTTGAGTTTAGAGTAATCTCTTACAATCCCTTGTATATCTGTGCTATTTGTGGTAATTTCTCCTTTCATTTCTTTTAATGTTTTCTCTCTTTTCTTTGTTAGTCTAGGTAGAAGCTTATCAATTTTATCTTCTCAAAAAATCAACTTTTAGTTTCATTGATATTTTGAATGTCCTTTTTTATTTGTATCATTTACTTCTGCTTCTTTATATCCTTTCTTTTACTACCTTTAAATCTGATTTGTTCCTCTTTCTCAAGTTGCTTTACTTAGTCTATGAGGACACATAGTATTATTGTGCTGTTGTCAGTATCTCTCTTTAGTTCTATTAATAATTGTCTTATGTATCTTGGTGCTCCGTCATTTGGTGAATATATATTTATGTTACTTTTATTTTTTTTTAAGATTTATTTATTTATTTATACAAGCACTGGGTACACTCAGAAGTGCAGGAGGATGAGAGAATTCACCAGAGCCAGAGAGGGGAACAGAACAGGCAGACTGACAAAATACACTGCTGAGGGGAGCAGCGGGCGAGATAGGAGAGGTCTGCTGCACCATGTGGGACCCTTGCCAGCGGCTGGGAATCTAACTGGTGCTGCAGAGGCTGCGGGCATCTTCACAGCCCAGTGCTCAACCGCTGCGCCACCAGGGGAGGCCCTCTTTTTTTTTTTTTTAAAGATTTATTTATGCATACAAGAACTGGGGTACAGGCGCAGAGGTGCAGGGGGCAGAGGAGGTGAGAGGATTCACCAGAGACAGAATAGAGAACAGAACAGGCAGATCTACTGAAATACACTGCTAAGGAGAACAGCGGGTGAGACAGAAGAGGTCTGCTGTGCCATGTGGGTAGCTCCCTGGCCGGCCTGAGATCGAACTTGTGCTATAGTGGCTGTGGATTGCTTCATAGTGCTATGCCTAAACCTTCGCGCCACTAGGGAGGTCCTTGTGTTACTTCTTCTTGTGTTCGATCCTTAATCACAATGTTCATCTCGCTTTTTTTAAATTGCAGAGCTATTTTATCTGATATATGTATAGCTATTCCTGAATTTGATTGCCATTTGCTGGTAGGATTGACTTGCAGTCTTTAATGTTAAGTCTGTGTTTGTTTTGTTGGTAAAATGGGTTTCCTGAAAACAACAGAAAGTTGGGCTTTGTTTTGAAATCCATTCCATCACTCCATACCTTTTCTTCCCAAGATTTATTTATTTATGCATTGAAGAACTAGGGGGTAGGCCAGAGGTGCAGCAGGTGAAAGGATTCACCAGAGACAGAGTGGGGAGCAGAACTGGGGGGCAGGTCTACTGAAATACACTGCTAAGGGGAATAGAGGGTAAGACAGGAGAGGTCTGCTGCACCATGTGGGTTAGCCCCCTGGACAGGGATCAAACTCAGGCAGAAGTGGTGATAGCACAGAGACTTAACCCCGAGGCCACCAGGGAGCACCCACTCTATGCCTTCTTAACTAGTGAATTCAAGCCATTTATATTTAAGGTCATTATAGAGATATAAGTGCTAATTGCCATTTTGTTACATTTTAATTTATTTTTAAGTTTGACCTTGTCTTTTTATTTGGACATCTTTTATGTTCTGTTTAGGTTCCATTCCTATTGTTTTATGTGATAACCGTACTGATTTTTGTATGAAGATTATATTGAAGTCACTTATGACGGACTATTTTGGGGTCTGTTGGACTGTCTGATTGCAAACTCATTCTGATGGGCCACATGTTTACTCTTCTCCAAATTGTAATTTAGGTTCAGTTATCTCTTGCCTTTCTTTTTGGTTGTTGTTGCTTTTAAAACTCCTTTAGGGCTACTTTCATGCCTGGCTTGGAGCTGATACATTCTTTTAGTTTCTGCTTTTCAGTGGAACTCCTTATACTTCCTGCTGTCTTGAATGTTAATACTCAAGGTAAAAGATCCTAGACTGGGTATCTTATTCTTTGAGTACTTTAAATAGCAGGACACCAACCTCCTGCCTATAAAGTTTCCATGGTGTTCAAGTCTAATTAATGTTTAGTCTAATTGGTATTCCCTTATAGATTACTCTTTTTTCTCTCCAAACTTTGTCGCTGATTTTCAACAGTTTTATTATAATGTGTCTTGGAGTGTGCAGGTTTAGTTATTATTTGTTTGGAACTCTTTGGGCCTTTTAGATCAGAATGTCTGGTCTATTTCCCACATTGGGATGGTTCTTAGCAATTATTTCTTTTTTTTTTTTTAAGATTTATTTATTTAGGCATACAAGAACTGGGGTACAGGCCAGAGGTGTGGGAGGTGAGAGGATTCACCAAAAACATAGTGGGGAACAGAACAGGCAGACTGACTGAAATACACTGCTGAGGGGAGCAGCGGGGAGTCAGGAGAGGTCCTGCTGCGCCATATGGGTAGCTGCCTGGCCGGCTGGGGATCAAATTCGTGCTGTAGCAGCTGTGGATAGCTTCACAGTGCTATGCTTAACCCCTTGCGCCACCAGATAGGCCCCAGCAATTATTTCTTTAAATAAATTTTCTATGTTTTTCTCTTTTGTTCCCCTTTAGGGGTCCCACCCATACAGATGTTATTTCTCTCTAGGTAATCTCAGAGAGTTATTAACTCTGCTTTTTTTTATTGTTGTTGTTCTCCTCTTTGTTGTTCTATTTGTCTGTTCTCTGCCACTGTGCTTTCAAGTCCACTAATTTTTCCCAAGACTGCATTTGTCTACTCTACTGCTTTCTTTATTATTGTTGTTCTTTCTTCTCTTTGTTGTTCTATTTGTCTGTTCTCTGCCACTGTGCTTTCAAGTCCACTAATTTTTCCCAGGTCTGCATTTGTCTACTCTTAAAGTCCTCCATTTTTTTAAATTTGATTATAGTATTTTTAGGCCACTAGTTCTGGTTGTAGCAGTCTCATATTGTATTGATCTTTGTTTTGCCCTTATTTTACATCATCCATTGTTTTTCTTAATTCAGGAAGCATGGCTCTAACTAAAACCTTAAACCCCTCTTCAGGCATATTCCACAGTTCTGCTGGATTGAGACTTCTTTTGGGGGTGTTTTGCTAGAGCACTTGTAATACACTCTTCTTTCCCTTCATTTTTACTCTTTATCAGATGTAAAAGAGAATTTCCTTTTCTTATCTTAGTAAATTGGCTTTATACTCCCCCTTAAGAAGCTAGGTATAATCTTCAATATTTTACCCAAAATCTTTAGGTGTATATTATTTCATTGACTTCTGCCTTTGCATTTAATTAGATGGTGAAGGCTCTGTTCCTGAGAAGAGGTAATAGGTAGAAGGCATTTAGGACTGTAACACACCAAAGGGTCACTTCCAATGAGCATTAAGGTCTCAAGCTTTCTGCTGCTCAGATACTTGAGTTATGTGTGGGGGATCCATAGTGACCCTCTCCCCTAAGATAACTCTGGTAGTCTCCTGCTAGCCTCAACTTTTAGGCTGCAGTTAAGCACGCTGCAGTGCTGGGTTTTAGCATTATAGTGGAAACAGTGCAAAAAGCCAGGAATTGTTCTCTTCGCTATTCAAGTAAAGGTTTACTCAGGGGAACTTGCTCTTGTTATTAAGGTCTAGGTACTTAAGCCTTGCATTCAGTTTTGGTTTTGGTTTGGCCCACGGTGGAGTGGGGGTGGGGGTGGGGGGTAAGATAAATGATTTGGATATCATAGCCTCAGACTGTAAACAGTAGCCTAGTCTATGAGTACACACTGGTATGTGGCCTGGTTCTCCCTGCTGGTTCAGGTTCCAACTATTCTAGATTGAGAGCCTCAGACAAGCTAGTAAGCATCAGCCTGCAGCCCTACTCCTAGAGTTTGCCAGTAGTACATCTTTCATTCAGCACAGGAATCTGTGCACACCCTTTCCCAGCACAGTGCCAGAACTTCAAAGTCCCCCCTGTGGGCATGGGCAGCCAAGTCAACACTAGAAGGGCTCCATACAGCCACCTCCCCTCCCTCTCCTGAGCTGTAGTGCCGCTATGGGGGCAAATAAAGTTTAATCACAATTTTTCATACCCCTTTCCGCCAGGCTGTTGCTCCTGACGTATGAGGCTGTCATCTGTTTATCTTCGGGGTTGTTATCTTTGCTCCGCCACAATATAGTCGTGACTCTATGGAGGTGGGGAGCCCAGCGTGGTCCCACTAGCACCCTCCTGCTGGACTCTCGGTTGCGGACGAAGAAATGAGATGTTTCCCGAACACCTACCAGGTAAAAACATCTCCCTACTTACAATTTTTATCCTCTTCGGAAGCTGGAGAAAAATCTCAGCCTCACCAACCTCGGAGCTGGACAGCTGTACACCCTGTCCCTCCCTGAGCGACCCAGCCGGCCCTACCTTCCTCTTTCTGGCTTTCTGGAAGTCTACGGAGGCGCAGGACCCGGTACCTGCGGGTCACGTGACGCGGCCTCCACGAGCGAAGCGGCCCGGGCCCGGGAGGGGGCGGTGCTCGGGCTGCATTACGTCATCACGTCGCGCGGCCGCGGGGACTGGAGCCGGCACGTCCACGGTGACGGCTCCAAAGCCTCCGGGTCGGGGCGGCGGCGGCGCTTCGGCTCGTCCTGAGCCGGCTGCTAGCCCCGCGCCCCACCCCGTCTCCCGGGCGGGGGACGCCCCGGCACGGATCACCCCCGCGCGGCCGGGTGGGCTCGGAGCGGAGGTGAGTTGCACGGAGGTGGTAGCAGGCAGCCTTTTCCTTCCTATTTCCCAGCTCCCGCTGGTAACCCTGCCTCCCCACTCCCCCTCCCTACCCCGCGCTGGAATGGAAGAGGCGCTCAGGAGAGCTGGGGAGCCCGGGCCAGGGGGCCATCTGGCGTCGAGCGCCCAACCTCGCCCCCACTACCCCCACCTGGTAATAGAAGCCAACTCTGTTGCTGGTGTTGTCAGGGGAGGAGACCTCCTTTCTTGTTCTTCTCCCACCTGGGATTTAGCCCTTCCAGAATTTGACGCCCCTTCCCCGCCCCACCCCGAATCTTCCGTGGTGGAACCCCTCTATTTGGATGTTAACGGAAGTTCTAGAATAGATCATCTCAGAAAGGTGAGGGTCTTAGAGGATGTGGCTGAGACTTTGCCTGATGAAGCAGGAATTCCCCAAGGAAGATGACCATCCTGCGATAGGGCCACTGTCATTTTTTGATACGGAAACCTTAAGACCCAGTCTTAGGCTGAACCCTGTGTTAACGCCCCAGAAGATCTTCAGAGTAAATGGACCTTTATTCAGACGTTTCTTGCATCTCCGGAGTTTTAAAACTAAGTTGACTTTAGGAAAATTTTTTCTGAAAAACATCATTTACTTGGATGAATCACCTCCTTTTCTGTAAAATAGATGTCACACAGTTGGTGGGGTTATCTAGGGTGCTTATGAAATAATATGCAAACTATAAACAGAAGTAGATCAAAATTAGAGTCTCGATTTTGCTATTCAAAAGTTATGGTTGTGAGTCGTGGACTCTTGAAGACCAATTTGATTTTTTTTTCTTGGACCATTTCTAAAAGTTTTGGGTTCCAAATAATATAGACGCTCAAAACCACCCCCATTTCATTCCCCAGAAATTGTTCTTGGAGCCAAAAAAAAAAAAAGTAACGCGGATAAAGCTTATCAAGTCAAGAAAATAATATATTGATTTACTGACATATAATCTCTTACTGAGTTAATTGAATGCCACTAACTATAGTAGTAAAATTAGTAGAGGAATGAATTTTGACAGGTTTCTATCCTAGTAAGACTGTGTCATTATAAAAAAATTACCAATATTGATTTGTTAACTTTGATAGTCAATTACTAATAATATAGAGTAGGAAAGCCCTTCTGTAGAAGAGCTTCAGTAACTTAATCAAATGGAAGTTTGTAGATAGCTGGTTTCCATCATTCATTGTAGGTATTTGCCCTCGCTTGAGGTTTAATTTTAAAAAGAAATCCAGATGTCTTTGGAAGCCATCATAATTCTTTGCATACTGATTTAGAAAAAGCTCATTTTCACTCACTTGGCCTCTCTTGCTCTAAGTTAAATACACAATTTTTATTTTCTTGCATTGAATTACTAAACATGGTTTGTACACCTGCTAGGATAGAAAAATATGTAAACCAGGATTCCCACCCTCTAAATATCTACCTACTTAATCTACTTATGGGTATTAAGTAATAGTGATATACCTTTAAGAAATTTTAGATTTGAGACAACGGCCTTGTGAAGATATGCAAGATATGTACAGTTTCTACTTACAGTACAGTAAAGTATTGATTGTAACAAATGTCAAGTGGTAAAAGCAGTCAGTATCAGAATTCAGAGGAAAAGGAGATCATTTTTACTTGAAATAGTGACTAGATTGTGGTGATAATTCCAAGAACAAGAATACCGTCTGCTAGTCCATGTTTCGGTCTGAGGAAACCTTAATTTGTAAAACTAATCAATTATGTTCAGTTTCCCCAGCCCTTTATATATGTTCATGTTTCTCTTGCAGTTTCAGAGTCCAAGGACTACTTTCATTCTTTCTCCATATTGCTTGATGGGAGGCATTATGGCCCCCAAAGACATAATGACAAATACTCACGCTAAATCCATCCTCAATTCAATGAACTCCCTCAGGAAGAGCAATACCCTCTGTGATGTGACATTGAGAGTAGAGCAGAAAGACTTCCCTGCCCACCGGATTGTGCTGGCTGCCTGCAGTGATTACTTCTGTGCCATGTTCACTAGTGAGGTAAGTGCTAGGCCATCTCCTCACATGTAACTAGTACTGAATAAAATAATCGAAGTTTGATATGACTGGATATCTATAATATGGTGGCTAACTGCACATACTGGATAAGATCTGCCACCTGACTATACCTTAGTTTCCTCATCTCTAAATTTAAAAAAATATAAAGTAGCATGTAGTTATTGTGATAATTATATAAGAAGTGCTTAGAACTTCTAGCATGTAGTCTAGCATGCTTCTGTCTAGCATGTCATAAAACACTAATGCTAGCTGTTGGATTTTGCTTATTGTTTTCTTAAATTTGTTTTCCTAATTTTGTCCTAAAGTTTCATACTTTCAAGTGAATACCAGGGAGATAGGGAAGAGGGGAAGGAAACAAAAGTGGGTATTAGCCCTCACCCCACTCCTAATAATATGTGAAGAAAGTCAGTATTCATTCTACTAATGTGGATTTTAGAGTAAGTGAAGTGAGAGCAAGAGGACTTAACAGATGATTGTGTAAGAATATGGAATATAACTTGGAAGAAGATGCTGCCTTTGGAGTATAGGCAGTTAGCAAAGGGAGCTGGGGAAAGACTGGCTTGACAAGAGAGAAGGTAGTGCTCATGAAGTATTAAAAAGGACCATTGCAGTAATTGCCTGGCAAAACACTTGAAATGTGGAGTGAAGTTGTTGAGTGTGTTGTGAGTTACTCTTAGAGAGCCGTGCAGAAGAGAGCTTTACAGCTGTTTACTTTCCAAGATCTCAAGTCTGATTTTCAAAATAGATTTAAATTATTTTGACTTTTAAAAAATTTGAACTGATGAATACATCAGCTTTTATTATATTTATTATATTTATTATACATTTTGATGTATGCCTGAAACATTTCATTATGGTAACACATAAAAAGAATTTTCTTTTAACTATCAGTATTTTCTTTAGTTAGTCCCATCACCTTAGTGACTGTGTTGCTTACTGGAACGCAATAGGAAAGGTGGTATCATAGTAATGACAATAACTACCCTTCATGGGCCAGGTCCATGCTAGGTGATCACTAGGTCTCACTCACCATAGAGGTCAATGTTACCATCTCATTTATAAACGAAGAAACAGGGTCATCGATATTAAATGACAGCTTAACATCACATCACTTGTAAATAGTAGAGATGGCATTTAATCCTAAATTCTCTGACTCTAAAGCTCAAGCACCTTTTAACTACTTTACTCCGCAGCCTCTGAAGTGTGGGTTTTTAAGTTCTGTAATCTCATTTTAAATGCAGTGCTCACTCACACAGCCAGTAAGAAAAACATGGAAACCTGAGAGATTGTTCAGCTACTCCAGGCTAATTCTAAAATGAGCTTGTGTAATATAACATTACAGACCCCTATTCTATATTGCCCTGCACAAGAGGATGTGAAGCAATTGGCATTTAACTGAGGAAGGAGAGTGTCACCAGGCAGCTGCTGAACTTGAAATAATAATGGACTGGGGCTGCCTACTGCTAATTATATACTTTGTATCCTAATCTTTGTCAGCTTGAAGAAAATTTTTTCTACACATTATCAGAAATTAATGTGGACTTTTTAAAAAGAATTCTCTTTCATTCTTTTTTCCTCATCAGTCTTTCTTTAAAAACTGGCATCAGGGCCTCCCTGGTGGTGCAAGGGTTTAAGCACCACACTATGAATCAGTCGCAGCCTCTGCAGCACAAGTTCGATCCCCGGCCAGGGAGAAACCCACATGGTGAGGCAGACCTCTCCTGACTCGCCCGCTGCTCCCCTCAGCAGTGTATTTCAGCCAATCTGCCTGTTCTGTTCCCCACTCTGTCTCTGGTGAATCCTCTCACCCCCCACACCTCTGGCCTGTACCCCAGCTCTTTTATGCATAAATAAATAAAAATAAAAAAAATTTTTTAAAAGTATGTCTTCAAAAAAAAAAACTGAGGGCATGCCCGGTGGCGCAGCAGTTGAGCGCTGGGCTGCGAAGCTGCCCGCAGCCTCTGCAGCGCCGGTTCGATCCCTGGCTGCTCCCCGGCCACCAGAGGAGGGTCCTGCATGGCGCGCAGACCTCTCCTGCCGCCCACTGCTCCCCTCAGCAGTGTACTTCGGTCCTTCTGCCTGTTCTGCTCCCCACTCTGGCTCTGGTGAATTCTCTCACCTTCCTGCGCTTCTGACTATACCCAGTGCTTGTATAAATAAATAAATAAATCTTTAAAAAAATAAAAAAACAACTGACATCAGATAAGAAAATGCCAGATGATTTTGTCTGTAAGACTAAGCATCCAGAAACCTGAATTCTTGGCTCAGTTCTCTTAATTCTTTGTGACCCTAGCAATCTTCTAACTACTGAGTTGATCTATAAAATAAAGTGATTGAACTAGATGGTTTCATTGTTCTCTTCCAGCCCTGAAATGCTTCTCAAATGTGACCCAAATTGAAAGTTCAGGACTGAGGCAAGAAGACCTGAGTTTTATCTGTCTCTTACTAGTTAAGTGACATAATTAAGTCACATAATTTCTTTGAACTTTAGATCCTTTATCTCTTAAATGACAATAGTATTACACCTGACTACTTTACTAGGTTGCTATGGGAATCAGATGAAATAATAGTAAATGAAAAGCTCTCAAAACTGAAAAATTTTAAAACAAAATAAAAATGTGCAATGGTACTATAATTATTCTAAGTTATTACATAGTGACTAATGGGAATATAATTTATTGAATGAGAAACTTCTATAATAAATGTACTTTTTTGTAAATAGTTACACTATCAAATGTAAGTAAAATGTTTTTCCAAAATAATGTACTAGTGACTTTTTTTAAATGTTGGGGATTGATTTTGTTCCTGGCTTTGGTGGAAAATACTTTTTGATTCTTCTGGACTAATGGAGGGATCAAAAATGATACAGATGTTTAGTTCATAGTGGAGTTACAATATAGTTTTGTGAGTAAATGAATTTCTAAACTAAGGTTAAGGTCTAGTAAAATTTTAATAATGTAATCAATTTAAAGATAGTTTATTGGGACCTCCCTGGTGGCTCAAGGGGTTAAGTCTCAGCACTGTGAAGCTATCAGCAGCCATTGCAGCACAGAGTTTGAGCCCCAGCCAGGGAGCTAACCCACATTGCGTAGCAGACCTCTCCTGTCTTGCCAGCTGTTCCCTCTTCAGTGTATTTCAGTCAGTCTGCCTGTTCTGCTCCCCACTCTGTCTCTGGTGAATCCTCTCACCCTTCCCCCCGCCCCCACACCTCTAGCCTACATCCCAGCTCTTGTATGCATAAATAAATAAAATA